CACTTGTCTACCGCTGATTTACCCATTACATAATGGATTACACTTGTCTACGCCACTTATTAGACTAGTGTAATCCATTATCTTATCATGACTTGCTTCAACTTCTGGGTAATTGCTGAACTGTAAATCGGCGGCAGATGTTAGAGTTAGAAGATGATTTTTTGAACTAAGAGTAGTTAAAAGATGATGATACCCGATTCTCACGCCCAGAATAAATTCCTGCGCCGCCCCCACCGACACTCCCAATTCCAAGACCCCATTCCGAACCCATGAATTGTAGAAAATGGACCGTCCTATAATTGTATACTATATTAGAAGAGAAGAGATTGATGGAGAAGTTTAATAATTTTTTCAGATCAGAAAATTTCCCTCCTTTTTAAAGCAATAACTTTATGAAATTAGTATAGGGAGACAAATTTGATATAATTTTAAAAGTTAATCGATGATTTTGATAAAAAAAAAAATTTTAATTAAGATGAAAAAATATTAATTAATAGAACCATGATTAGTGTATACTCGGATTCCACATCCAGGTGTGCACCCCCCACATAAAAAAAAAAGTTGGACCGGGTGATGGGCTTTTTTTTCTGTTTATATGAGGGGTGCACACCCGAGTGTGGGATTCGGGTGCGCACCCATCATTTTCCTAATTAATAAACGATTTATTAAATTAGGCATTTAACAATTTTTTTTATAGGAACAATTCTTTTAGCCCTAAGCAAGGTAAATATGTTAATAATCATGAAAGTAAATTACTAAGTGAAGACCACACATCAATTATCTTATCGAATAGTGGAATTACCAATCATCATGAAAATAAATTACTAAGTGAGAAAAACCACACATCAATTATGTAAGGGAAAGAATTTAAAAATAATGTGTTTCTTCACTTATTGTTAATTGTCTTAGATTAATTGCTTGTATCATGATAATAAAGGTTCAAAGTAGAGGCTCAAAGGTTAGGTTCATTAACTTTAGGGCTAGCGAAATGACCTACACCAAAACTCGCCAAAGCCCAATAACATTTTAGGTCAAGATCTATAAATTTTCAAAATTTTAAATTAAAATTATTAGTAGTGGTTGGTCTTAATACTTATATACTACTAATATCTTTATCAAACCTAATCACAATCAAAACAAGGTAGCCTATGAAGTCCACACTATTGATTTCTCTAATACTAATTGGAATGAGCTGAACTAAAACTTACCACTAGTTTAACAATTCTTCTGATTTAGATCCACGGACCTCAAAAGTTTAAGTTATTAGTAGTAATTTGTTTTAACACTTATATATTACTCATCACACTTACACTTTTATCTTGATATAATATTTTAAAGGGTTAAAATCTCATTTTGGTCCTTTTACTTTAACAAAAAGTCTTTTTTTAATCCCTTTACTTAAGAAAGTCCTTTTTTAGTCCCTAAAATTTATTATTCGGCTCCTTTTTAGTCCCTCCGTTATCTTTTTATATATATGACATATTAGATAATAGAATTGCTAAAATAGAGGATCCAAAAAAGGGTTTTTTTAAAGTAGAGGAACTAAAAATGAGTTTTTTTAGTCTCTTTCTAGTTCTTTACTTTGAAATTTTTGTTATCTAACGTGGTATGTATATAAAAAACAATGGAAGGACTAAAAAAAACTTTTCATTAAAGTAAAAAGACCAAGATATAGGGTTTTAACCTATTTTAAAGCGTTACAGCTTATTTGACTTGTGCTTTCTCAAAAAAAAAAAAAAGAAGAAGAAGAAGGAAGAATTTAGAGAAGTTTAACCGTTTATGGCATTTGATTGGCTTGGGAAATAGTTATCTCGTTTAGTTTAATGGGCAGTTGTATAAGGATAATTTTTTAGTATAATATTTTTTATATAATTTTTATATATTATTAAATGAATGAATATATTTAATATTATAAATTTTAAATAAATAAAAAGAGTAGATTATTGAAATTATATGTAAAATTATATAAAAAAAAACAAAAAATTTATCTCTAATCATTTTTCTTAGACTAACATAGTTGATTATCATAATGAATTAAAAGCGACCAACGACCTATTGATCTGAATGAAAGAAGTTCAGTTTTTCTTAAATAAAGTTTTGAGTTTAAGTCTTATGAATAGAAAAATAAGCACTAGAAGAGTTTCTTTCCTTATAAGGTCCAAGGCGAGTCGATTATAGATTAAGTAAGATCTCGAGTTTGAGTTTTATGAATAGAAAAACAAGTACTGAGAGAGTTTTCCTCTTATATATAGGATCCGATGCGGTTCGATTTTAGATTAATCAGAGTCCAATGTGATTACCATATACTGAGAGGTTAATATAAAAAAAATAATGAATTAAAAGTGGTTATGAACCCCAGAAATAGACTTCCAAAAAGAAATATTTCATTAATTGTAGTTAAAAATTATTTTGATATTTATTTATTTCTTAAAAATACTGTGGACAACATATGATAAATTTTATTAATTATTAATTAAAATTTAAAAATTATTGTATGATGTGAAATTATTAAAATAGACAACATAGACAACATTTACTATTTTATTTTGTAATAATTATTTAGGTTTTTTAAGTCTTACATTATTAGCGTTCTTTTAAGTTTCGTAATGAGTACTTTATAAGGAAAGAATGAGTTTTTAATGATTAATAGAATCTTCAAATGAAATGAGAGATTAAGTTTAAAAAAAGTATTATAAATTGTGATGTAATTAAATAAAATAAAATTGAGTTTTAATAAATAATTTTATAATTATATTAAATATTAAATATTAAATATTATCTGTAACAATATAGTCCAAAAATTTTAAAGTAAGACTTTTAATTTTGTATAAAATTACTATAAATTTATTATAATTTTTGAAAAAATAATTTTAAAAAATTAACAAATATATATTTAAAAATAATATATAATTACAAGAAAAAACCTATTACCATAATTCCAAATATACTCTTAACTAATATAAAAACTTAAAATTTTAACCATTAGACATGATCGAGACATTAAACACTCCAATAAAAGAAAGCAAAACATTCAAAGCGTGCTTATGGTTAAAAGCAATTGGCAATCTACCAATCCACAAAGCCGTTCGTGATTATGGGTTGTTTTTGGATAAATTCAACAGGCTTGCCTTTTCCTGCACTGCCCTGGTAGTTGTCACAGGACCAAGGTCGGTGTGCATTGAACCCAATATTTAATGACATTTAATGGTCTAAGGTTCAGATTCAACATTTAGTCCATCACTCGAGGCACAGGGCCAACCCTTCGAGGGTAAGGTGCATAAGACAATAAAGTCCTGGTTCAACCCTAAGCATTAATATTCCCCTAGCTTGTTCGAAAAAAATAAGGTTAGATCCTCATTTTAGTCCATTTATTTTGGAAAATAATTTTTTTAGTCTCTCTACTTAAAAAAGATCTTTTTTAGTCCCTAAAGTTTAAAATCTTATCCTTTTTTACTTTCTTTGTTAAGTTTTGCATACGTAACATATTAAATGACAAAAATTTCAAAATAAAGAGACCAAAAAGATGCTTAAAATGGATTAAAAATAGTCTCAATTTGGTCCCTACTTTGGAAAAAAGCTCTTTTTTTATTTCTCTTCTCTGAAATTTCTGTTTGTCATCTAATGTAAAAACTTAACAAAAGGACTAAAAAGCTGTCAGATTTCAAATTTTAGGGATCAAAAGGAGTTTTTTAAGTAGAGGGATTAAAAAAGGGTTTTATCAAAAGTAAAGGAACTAAAAAAGGGCTTTTTCCAAAGTAGAGAGACCAAATTAAAATTTTAACCAAAAAATAATAATAATTCAACGGCTACAAACTCCATGCAAAGACAAACTTTTAATACGCAAGCACATGTTCCTCCATCCTGGCCACAGTATACAATCATCCACCGCTCCCCTAGCTCTCCTGCACCCATTCATGCTCGTTGTATTGAAGAGCTCTTATCAGCTGCAGACAGTCAAGCTCCAGCACCAATCGGCTGAAGCTCATTTTGACGGCCCACGCCAAGGCCCTCTTGACCCCTTTACGGCCTCTACACTCAAATAAAAGCTGATTTGGAATTTAGAACAAATCGCTAGCTAAAATATTTTGTCAAACAATTATTCACAATGATTTCGACACAAAAAGTACCAAAACTGATGATATAACAAAGTCTTCATATCTAAAAAAATGATTTTGATTCCTAAATTCCTAAGTAAACAGCACTTATAAGTAAGCAAATAACCCAATTAATGAACTGATTCAACTGATTTAAATTTTAATTTATAAGAATTATATAGGTTTCTTATGAAAAATAGAATTTTATTGATATATGAAAACTACAAAGGTTACAAAACTAATCTAAATGGAGTAATTAATATGTCAAAAATATACGTGAAAATGTAAAACTCAAATAATCTAATACCTATTTGAATATCATAACCAAACCCAAACTTGAGATTTAGTAATTAAACTGCATTTCAATATAATTTATCTAGATAGAAGATAAATTAGTTTGGGTTAAAAAATTTAGCTAGGGACTCATCCTAACCGTGCTTTCAACCATCAAAGCAAAAACAATAACTTATTTGAGTCCAACTAATATCGCATTCAAGTTGTCATCCTCCTCAAATAAGTATGAATTCCAATAAAAGGTATCAAGAGAGCCAAGGTGAAAACCTTCAAAAAAAAGAGAGAATCCCTCACAAAAGAGCAGAGAACTCCCATCTTTAGTCATCCACTCTAATCACTAAGGGAGAGAAAGATTGCAATGGCTAGGGAGAAAAAGAAAATTAAATAAGAGAAAAATAAGAAAATCAGGACTAAAAAAGAAGAATTATATTGTTGAATTAAAATTGAGTTTGTGAATAATCTAATTTTGGAAGGTTTACAATTCCAAATACTTAACATTTGTTACCAAATAAATCAATGTGCATGTTACAGGGAATCGAAGGTGTCCAATCCCTGTTTAATTTCGGTCGCGTTCCGTTGCCATCTAAGATCCTCAGTTAACATTAAAAAGAGAAGAAAAGTTTACTTTTAATTACTTGACTTTTTTTAACTAGGTAAAATATTACGGCCAAAAATACAAGGTAAAATATATGTAATAACATTAAACCATATAGCATTGATAATGGTAAGGATAGTCCAGTCCCATAAATTAAGATTTACAAGCCAATCAACAGCATTCATACTAACAAGAAGTACCAGTCTCCTATTATTTCTTAAACACTATATATGATAGTGTGTTTAGGTACACTTTAATCTAGGAAAGGCTTGGAGGTGGATACCGCCATCAATATTTAGAGTGAGCATAACTCTATAGTTCACCGCCTTTTTCTCATCACTGAGCTTGAATCTGAAGCATCCAAACAGAACAGCAGAGAAAATCTTCATCTGCCTATACGCAAATTCTTTTCCTAGGCAGATTCTTGGACCTGCCTGCACCAAACAAAAGGGTTTAAGAAAACTCAGCTCATAATATCTTTAATGGCTCAATCTGTCCAAACTTTTAAGAATCCAACTAAAACAATCTTCTATCATACCAACATCTGTATTATACTTTGGAATTAGTAAAGTGTTTTCCAGGTTTTCAGTTGTCTTTGATATTTTTTATTCTAAAATTACTCTTTTTTACCTGGAAGGCAGTGAACTTGAACGGGCTTTCTTGCTGAAAAAGGCCATTTTCATCAATCCATCTCTCGGGCCTAAATTCCTCTGCATCATGGCCCCATAGAAACTCCATCCTTCCCATTGCATAAGGTTGGTATCCAACCAAGTCTCCTTCCCTCACTCTGAAACCATCTGGCATGGTATCATCCGCAAAACAAATCTTTCCCTCCTGTGAAATTGATCAGAGGATAAATTTGCCAAAACTAAGTATGAAATCAGACAAGCTAACTAGTTAATAGACCTGGGGCTATTTTTACCACTGGCACTGCAGGATAGAGTCTGAGTGTCTCAGTCAATGCTGCCTGAAGATATTGCATTTTGTCAAGTGATTCTTCATTTATCTTGGAGACAACTTCATTGATGCTCAAGTCATCATTAATTTGGGCTGCTTCTCTCACTTCCTTGGCAATCTTTTCCTGTATAGTAGTGTTCTTGCAGAGCATGTATAGAAACCAGGAAAGGGTGCCTGCAGTTGTGTCTTTGCCCGCAATTATAAAACAAAGTATTATGTCTTTCAAGTATTTTACGTCATTCTGATCTGATTCTAGAAACCTTGATAATATATCTCCTCTCTTCATCTGTCATTGAGAAATGTATGGCCGATTAATAGTTATATATTAAAGGCAAAAGTATGGAAAAAGGTCCTAAACTTACACAAATTTCTCAATTTTGGACCCAAACTTCGATTACACTCAATTAAGGTCCCGAACCATATGAAATTCTAAATAAAGTCCCAATCAGATGGAATATTCTCTTGCTGTCAAATGTCTTGGATGCCCATTAACCATCCATAATTCTCTTAGCCAACTAGATTGCCATATGGAAAACATGCTAACTTGTCATTGCCATGTGGATGCCATGTGGCTACCATGTGGATTCTCTTTAGAAGGATTTTTCCTCAAAAGCAACTGGGACCCACCAGTAGCATCCACATGGCAATAACATGGCAATAACAAGTCAACATGTTTTCCATCTGGCAATCCAATTGTTTGAGAGAGTTACGAATCCAAAACATTTGAGGATAGGGATAGCAATTTCCTTCGAGACCTGTAAAACTCTATAGAGATCCCCACTCAAGAGATGGAGATTCTAAGAAGATTCTTTCTCAAGACGAGGATGAAGGCATTTTTTTCCCTACAAAATTTTGTGGGGAATTTCCTCCGACCAATGGAGACCCATGGAAATCCATATAAAATAAAAAAATATATATAAATTTATTCTTACATATATTTTTGTAAATATATTACCAATTAATTTTTACTCACCCAACTTAATTGGTTAATCCAACTTAACATAACTTGCCCAACCTAATTCCTTTTCCAGTTCTAGTGTTTTCAAACCTAATTCAATAACCCAACCCAACATAAACATATATGGCAGCTCATGCATTTTTTTTTTATATATATAAACTTGTTGTTGGACCTATTGGACATGTATGGTAGTGTGTATTTGCTGCAATTGGTTACTAGATATTATTTTACCACAATATATGTTAATGTATTTACTTGTTTGAGTTGTTTTAAATTTTTACTTTTTTATTTATTAAGAAAAAAATGTTAAATTTTATATATTTAATATTTGACAAGAACTCCAAATACTCGCAAGAGCTACTATTCTCCGTCGGTATGGGGATGGAGACCATTTTTTACCCCAACCAAAAATCCCTATAGAGATCCCCATACTGTCATTGGTGGAAATGGGAAAGGGGAAAGGGTCCTTGCCCTTGTGAGGACCCATTGTTGTCTCTATGTGAGGGCAAAAGAATATTCCATTCAATTGGGACCTTATTTGAGAATTTCATATAGTTTGGGACCTTAAATGAGTGCAATTGAAGTTTGGGTCTAAAATTACAAATTTTGTGCAATTTTTGGTCCTTATATCATATTTTTGCGGATACTAAAATTTTCCAACTTATATAATGATAGAAGACAATTAAAAAGAGGACAGGCAGAACTCACTAGGAGATCTTCTTGTGGTTGTGGATATTGAACATGTTCAATCTTTCCTTGTATTATCTTGTTCACAAATTCGTCAACCACTTTGATACAATCTTTCAACACTGCCTCTGATCCAATGTTCAGCATACTCTTGATCTTCCAGAAGGGGTCAAAGTAGCGATGCAGGGTTATCTCACTTGCTTTGTCAAATGCATTGGAAAACCATTTGCCTTCTTCATATGTTCCACACAGGCTGTCCAGTTCTACTCCAAGCATGATTTTAAATACTGAGTCCAAGGTTGATTTCATGAAAAGATCCTAATCAAAGGGAGAAAACTATTGAGAACCACGCCGTCTAAATGTTAAAGTTTGATAAATGATGGCTTAAGAATAGTTTCATTCACTGGGAAATAAAATATGTGAGATTCAAGCAGTTAATGTAGATTTACTTGAACATCAATGCATTTATTAGAGGCTGCAGCTTCAGATACAACTTTTGTAAGCTTTGCTGCATTTTTCTTGAAAACTACACTACTGAATTCTCTGAGAGTCCTTGTGGAGAACTCATAGCTGGAGGCTTTCCTCTGATGTCGCCATTTCTCTCCATCCACAGTGAAGATCCCATCACCTAAGAGATCACTTAAAAGGCCATGTTGGTATTTTCCCTGCTTTCATGATGTTTATAGTAGTTAAGAACCCAAAAAGAAAGAACAAATTTATGCTCGTGTCTTTCAGAAATTCAAACAAAAGCAAAGATGAGATTGCGTAAGAAACTGAATAATGGAAAAACAGAATAAACCAGACAGGATTTTAAGTGTAGCAGTACCTTGCCATAGTTTGCAAAGTTTGTTTTAAGCATGTACTCGACATTAGCAGGGTCCACAGTATAAACCCGACTGCTGAAAAGGCCAAGTCCAAGTAATCTGTAAGTCCTGTTTTTGCGTGAGAGGTCAGTCATGTAATCATGCAACCTGTTAAGGTTCACCAGTTGGTGGAGGATGGTGCCGGCAACTGGATGGTAACCTTTCTTCTCCTCCTTTTCTGATGAACTTCTGCCATGGATTTTGATCATAAACATGGCTAGAATCAGAGCCAGAGTTATTGCGGCTAAAGAGATGGGACTAGATATGAAGGATAACAGATCCATAATTGGTGAATGGATGCTGTTACCGTATGACAAATTACTCTACACAGAAGAAAGAAATTGTTAGATATGAAGGAATTTGTGTGGATGCTGAATGTTCGTGTTTCGTTTTCAAGAATGAGTCAGGATATTTTCGAGTACACCAGCTTTGATGGTGACTACTGACTACAGATTCAAACAAACAAGGCTAAAGCATATGTTTGGCCTTTACCTTATTAAATTTAAAACTTTTAATTCTTTACTTTATATCATGAAATTTTTAATTCTTAAACTCAATGATTTGAAAATTTTAACCCCTAAATTAATGGAATCCATTTAACTCTTCATTAAAGTGAGAATAAAATATTTACATGATCAATCTTCAAAAATTAAAAATATAACAATTTTGTTTCAAAAGTTTAAAAATTAAAATAAATTAGTAAACTAAAAAGAATTAATATGTAAATTTCTTACATACACTAAAATAATATTTATAATCAAATCGAGTGACTAACTCAATTTGAAAAAAGAATTTTGATTGAGATTAAAGAAAAATTCTTAGTTGAGTTAAAATAGAAAATCCAAAGACTAGAAGAATATAATCAAGAAATTTTTTTTAATCTCAAAATTTTTTTTAATCTCAATTAGATTTTTTTTTTTTTAGATTGAACTAATCACTCAATTTGATTATAGATACTTAATACTATTCTCATTATGTGATGAAGTTATCTACTAATTATTTTTAATTTACTAATTTTTTTAATTTTTAAACTTTTGAAATTAAATTGTTACATTTTTAATCTTTAAAGACTAATTCTATAAATATTTTATTCTCATTTTAACAAAAAGTTAACAAATTCCATTAGTTTAGAAGTTAAAATTTTTAAACAGTTAAGTTCAAGAGTTAAAAACTTTATAGTGTAAGGTGAAGAGTTAAAAACAACAAACTTATTAAGATGATAGACTAAATGCATACTTTAGCTAAGAAAAAATTGTTTGCGATAACCCAACAAACATATACATATTTTTGACCTAAGATTTAATTACTACCTCTCAACTACATAAGCTTAAGTTAGATTAAAATAGTTAATAGTATCTTCTTAAAAGTTATTCTTGTCATTTTAGTTGTTTGCATGTAACTCTCCTTAATTAATGTCTTAGATGTAGTTGACATTAATACTTGGTTGGACGTTGAGACTTGATGTTAAAGGTACAAAGTGCAGTTCGAAGTGAATGGAGTAAGAATTTCTTTTTAATTCAGCAAACATACAGTAAATGTAATTCTCTATGCTATTGAAGGGATACTGAGCAATGTAATCTCTGTCTTTATGTAAGCTGCTCATGTATGAAATGTATTGGAGATGAATGAATGAATGAGAGAAAGGCTGGAAAAACGAAAATCTAGACCTGTGTTTTTCATAATCTTAGTTCTTGAATTTCATTCATCCAAAAACATCCGTCATTTTTTTCAGTCTCTAAAGAGCTACAATTGACTTCTTTTTAACCTTTTAAGTTTACCATAATTGCGCACCTGCAGCAATAGCTGCATTGCTAGGGTGCAGCAAAGCCATGGTGGCCCATACCATAGTTCAAATCCATCTGAGAACATTCCTCTTCCCCCTAATTTCCCCTTGTTCAAAATTGATGTAATCATTTAGCAGTGTGCCCATCAAGTCAATTCAAGATTAAAAGGTATTACCTAAAATCTCTTACGAATTTGGAATCTGCAAAAAATTTGTGGGGTGTTGGTGAATCTGAACAAGAAATATGATGTGGGTGTACTAATGTCTAGAAACCGGCATGATTATTTCATTTGCTGTTTCTGGACTACAAATGTTTTTCTCCTTACAGAGCAAGAAGCAAGTTTGTGACTAGGATAAAGATAAAACCTCTCATGTCATTTTCTGGGACCAATGTCATTTTCTGGGACCAAAGTTACGGTCGGTGGATGAATGAACAGGAGCATAGCTGGATATTATCCATCATCCATGAGAAGAGCGAAACCAGAGAACCTGGTAGCGTGTCTTGCATAGATTCCTTAGCATCCAAATTGAGAGAGTTTTTAGAACAGAAGCTAATATTTCTCTTTCAATGAGAAGATCAAGAAATTCCCTTCAAGTAAACCTGGAGCAAGCAAAAAAATTTTATATATATATATATATATATGTGTGTCACTAACCTGAAATTTCGTGACTTAAAACAACTTTCTGGTGGAAAAATATGACAACATCTAGTCGTCATGCAGGGAAAGAATTGAATCATCCTATGGCGTAAGGCATGTAGTTTGCACCATTGCTTGTTCTTTACTTTAGAAACATTCATGGGAGAACATCATAATTTCCATTCTGCAGTAAAGAAATACAAGAGACAAGTTTTAAAGTAGAGCTACAGAAGGGAAGGGGAAATAGTACTGCTGCCTTTTCAAGAATATTGGCAAAACACAATGAAGTAGAAGTAATTAAAAAACAAGATGATTTGCTAAGAAAATTTATCAGAGAAAAAAAATAATCGACAGTGGGTTTACTATGTTACCAGGTATTGCAAGACAGAACCCATTAAGACTCCATATGATACCATGATAGTAAGGGAAATAAGGAAAAGTTATGCTTTTAATCAGGTTATGAAAATTCCTGCACCTCAAGTATATTCCAAGAAACAATATCCCTGTTAGGTGTTTCATCAGACACTTTCCTCGCAGCATTCAACAACCTGCATGCTGAATAAAAACCAATGCAAAGAAGTTTGAACAAAAAGGTCACCATACAATCCAGAGTTAATGCCTTGCCCGTGAATGCTACGTCCTACATAATCATCAAGCCTCCTCATGCATTCCTTTATGAAGAAAGGAAAAGAGAGGCTATCAGGTCCTGTTCCATCAAAATACATTTGCCTTGGTATCATTCGAATCACTAAATTTGGCGCTTAAACTTTAACCATGATGTTATCCACAGAGAATTTGAGGGTTCGAGTCCAAAAACATTGGTTGCATCACTAAGAGAACCAAAATTATAAACAACATATGAGAATATAGGGGCCAGCCAACAACGGGTAGTAATATTTAGAGCACTAAATTTGGAGCCTAAGCTTTAAGCATTTGATTACATTAAAAGAACATTTTTCCTTTTTGTGAAAATAGATACTAATATTTTCGATATAATGAACTATAAAATAGAATAACTTTTTTTTTTTTTTTTTAATTTCTCTCCACCTCACTTATCACAAAATTTAAACCCAAAATTTTTAGTATGAACATATCATAAATATCAACATTGACTATCTTAATTTAGACCATAATATTTTCATTTAGTTCCCGTATCACGACAGAATATAAGGACAAGTGTCCGACCGCCTCAAAACCATTCCCATTCGTCAATGCTATAACCAGAGGGTGGGCCACTCTACCTTGCACTTGAAAAAAACATCCACATGATTAAAAAATAATAATAAAATGCCCGGCGGGCCTGGGATAAAGAGAAATATAAAAACAGAGATTTTCAATTTCATGAAACGGGAAATTACAGAAAAATCATATTGGGGGGCAAAAACTTCAAATGTGAAAAATTCCATGTTGGAAACATGATGTATAAAATAAGGGAAATTTTGTAATAAACATAAGAGCTATTAAACTTAACAGGCAGCTCCCGTTTTGAAGCGTGGATGGAGAGTTGTTTCGGAAGCCTTAAAGAAAGCCTTCAACCCCTCGACCTGTTCTTACCTCTCTGTAGATCATGAGTGCTTCTTCCATTACCTTGGCTTGAGCAAGCACTTGAGCTCGTTTCTTTCCAGATGGATGGGTCGAAAGGTAATCTCTAAGCGTTGAATCACCGGAGATCTTTCCTAACTTCTCATACACAGTTGGTGCAACTCTTGGATTAAAGCCAGCAGAAGCAATCAATAACAGTCCAATGTAATCAGCTTCCATTTCCATCCTGTCATAGACAATAATAAAAAAAGATAAGCACTGTGAACCATCCTTCATATTCATCAGATTGTACTCTACCAGAATGATGTATACACGGTAAGACCAGACAAGTAATGCGTTTAAAAGAGACATAAATGACAGATGACAACTAGCAGCAATCATTCCACTGGGACATTCTCAAAACACATTCAACTTTAATTATTTGTCAAAATTGCACAAGCAGGCAACTGAAACTGGAAGGAAACCAAAATCAGAATCAATTGGTTGGACTGCCAGAGTAGACAGAAACCTGCAGATATATGACTCCAAAACAAGATGAAATAGCCTTGAATCTACACCTAACCATTTCAAATATGTTTGACAACTGCATGACCTCTATTTAATGGCTTCATAACTTACATGGCAAGCATTAAAATAAAAAGCAACAGACCACTAACTGTTTTGACTAATATAAAACAATTTCTGTGGTATGACACACATGGATATTGTTTGAGAGATGGATGCATAAGGTATGCAGAAAGTAACTTCACTTTAGGATGTAAACAAGTCCCCACACCAGATATTTTAGTTAGGAATTCACGGTACATAGTTTTGTAAAATCCAGAACCATGCTCAAAGAATAAAATCCATTCTCTGTTGGTTTAAAATGGATTTTGGTGGTGTAAGCAAGCAGATTTAACTCAGATCTCAGTAACCACACAATTTAGTTTCCTCACAGCCCAAAGGTTTGGGAAGATTCATTGCCTAGACAAATGCCATTCAACCATTTTCTTTTAAGAGCCTAATCATGTTGAACTTGCATACTGATTTACAAACTTTGCTTATGAGGATTCAAAACCCTATGTTCTCTAAACAATGGGACCAAGCATCAAAAAACTACCAGAGACATACAGCAGTTTGCTTTGCACTCTTTTTGACCCCTTCTTTTTTTTTTTTGGGGAAACACAAGCAATTTCCATTGATTGTTAATTTTTTGACACCTTAAAAAGGACTGAGAACACAAAAAAGAAAAGAAAAATAATCAACCTAGATCACCCCAATGATGTTTAATAGCTAGTAGTAAAGGGCATCATTTTTTTTCCCTCAGAGATGATAATTGAGAAAAAGGCAGAGCATGAATTTATTGGGACATCATGGCCATGCACAAAGCAGAAAACAAATCACAGTTGAAAGATCATCAAATATCAACAGATCTATGTCCTCCCCAGCCACGCCCACGCCCACCCCCATCCCCAGACATTTAAGAAAACTCAAAACCCTCTGTCCTCTAAACAATTGGACCAAGCATCAGAAAACTACAAGAGTAATACTCATTCTTTATTTGCACTTACTTAGACACTTCAAAACTGTTGTATTCCTTTCCTTGAAAATCAACAATAAAAGGCCAAAAGAACAAGAAACAAGAAAAGAAAAACAAGCCACCTAAAAGATCTGTCCTATGATGATTCAGTAGCCAGTGGGAACGGGCATCCCTTCCTCTGAGAGATGATAATTGAGGAAAGTCATCACAGGATATAATAACCAAGCACAAAGCGGCAAACAAATAACAACTGAAAGATTATCAAATATCTTTAGATACCTACCCACCCAAACAAAAGAAAACAAAACCTGCATTTTCACACACACAAATAGCTAAATATGTATATCAACTCCAACTACACAGAACAATCAAAAAGCTCATAAAATTCCATCCCTGATTAGTATTAGCTTCAGCTGCACATAGTTGCAGATTATGATGGTAGATTCAGAAAAAACTATCTTCTAAATGGATAGTTTAAATTTCATGAGCTGCCAAATGTTAATGACTTTTAACCAGTGCTACACTACTCTAGCATATGCATTGCAACATCTAAGAACATCAGTCTACTAATTGCTTTTAACAGACTTGAAACACTTCTTTGGAAGCTTTTTAAAGCCCTAAGCCAGAAGTAATCATATACATATGTAATTGTGTATATACCATTTATGCTTCCCTGAAGTGTATTTATGCCAAGCAAGTTGCCCATCCTAAAATCAATCACTTTTTAAATGTTACACATGCCTTTTAATTGTTTCTAGAGAATGCACTTACCTTAGCATACAAATCTTAAAAGGATCCAATTAATCTAGCCACTACCAATCTTCAGTCTACAATCCCCCCAGGTTCATACAAGCACAACCCTTAAAGTTTATTCAGTGAATTTGAAACAACTCTAGAGTTGCATTTCCTCATTTGTTTCTAATCAGCAAATATATCTCATTTTTTTAAGCAAACCTCCAAAGGAAACAAACAAGTATTCATTGAAATGATTATATAAAACCCAACAGCTATTGAAGTGATGACTACAGGACACATACTTTCTTGAGAAAGGAAGCCTCAAAAGAAGAGTTGACATGGCGTTGGCAATATCAGGAGTGATAAATTGATAAAGTATCAGTTGGAGGATGGCAAACCACAGATTCTTTGTAATCCCTTCTGCTGCATGTCGAGCCACAGCATGCCCAACCTAATGAAAAACACACATAAAGATACGTTATATCATTTCATATTCAATAAAACTACAAACTGACAACACAAGTGCACGCAATACCTCATGCCCAATTATGGTGGCTATCTCATCATCACTTCTAAAATGCTTGAGTAACCCTGTAAAAACAACAATCTTGCCACCAGGCAAGCAGAAAGCATTAACAACAGGCTCATCCACCACCAAAACCTCCCAATTCAATCCATCTAAATGAGAAGTATTTGCTTGGGACCCTCTTTCTTGACCCTTCTTCCTACTTTGCTGAACCCACTTATCATCAAGAATCTCATCTTCGTGGTGCCATTCTGTCTCTACTTTCCCCTCTCCACCCTCACTAAGTGCTAAAATTGTTTCATGTCCACTCTGATCCCCAGCTGCACTCTCGGACGAGGCATACTCCAAATCACTCCAGAGCTGCTCATGCCTCAATCCTCTTTGCAATGCCCCAATGATTTCTTTTGATATTAATCTCACCCTAACACTTTCCGGGTGTATTGCAGGCAATACTTTTCCCTTGAAAGAGGCTTTCATTTGCTCAAATTGATGCTCTCCCATCCTTCTCTCCATAGCTCTCGACAAAAGCACAAAATGTGTTCTTTTTGTATAGGGAATGGTCTCTAAATTACCAAAATATATAGTAACAAAAGCCCCTGAACCAACCAACACAAGAATCAAAACATTCCTTGGATTCTCAAACCACCCTCTTGGCCCCCGCGGCCTGAAATGTTGAACACGATGCCGATCCTCATAGTAAAATCGCCTTGCCCCATTTAAAAACGGATTGTACTGATATCTATTGGCGCCAACGGGCAAGCCCCATTTTTGAGAAAGCGAAAAATATAGAGAAAACCCAGAAAAATTAGCTCCATTTCCAGCTGAAATCGAAGACCCACAACGCCGGGAAACACTTGAGGAGCAATCTGCAATTGGGGATTTGGGTACAATCCTTGGGCGGAAATTGCTGCGCAGAGCATCAAACGCGAGCTTGGCTCTTCTGTAGTAAGCCATGACCTTGCGATGATACTAAGAGAGAAGGGATAAACTTGAGTCTTGGGTCATTCAATACTTGTTCTATTGAAAATCTGGAAAGGGAAAAAGAATGGATGAACCAGGAGAAACGGGGACTTGACCTTCGGAAATTATGCCGTCCGGTGAAGTTTAACTTCGCAATTTGGAGTCGGCGCGTGAAAGGTCAGAGAAAACACGGTGCAGCTCGTGTGCGACTTGTTAGGGACTCGTATACTAAATCCTAAATCCTTGTGCGCGAGCGCTGTCAACGGGTTGCTTGCAAGGGGACACTATAGGCTCATTTAAAATATAGCTCCAACTCGAGTGCATTTATAAGGGTATAATTTTGAGCAGCTAGCAAACAGCTCGGATACTTGCAACCTTGTTGGGGCATGAGCGTCAAACAAGGTTTGGGCTTGAACATCCTTACTCCAATCTCAATTTCACTCTTCCAATCCGTTAAAAAAAACATAGTATTTTGATTTAAATTGAAATTATCACTCTATTTAAATCATTTTATATTTATATTCAACCACTTTAATACTCTATTCAGTTAGAAGTTAACACGGCTTTGACTCGTGGCAGAGGAGTGCTTGTTTCCCAATTCTTGCACAAACCATTTTCACCTATAGCCATTCCTTGGCAAGGACAAAAGAAACACAAGTCTTTTATAGACTCGAGTCGCCTCTTTGGCCAAACCAAACACCTTTTCATTCCCTTTTCACCGCAAATCCTTTGCGTTGAATCCAGTCCAAGCCACGAAACGAAACCCCAATCAACCTATCCCTTTTTGGAAACCTTCAGGTTCTGTTTGGTCCCCAACCGTAACTTCCCCTTACATGAAAATCATGATTCATTAATTTGGTATTTGTGCATCATATTTTTCGTCTTTAGCCCTTTTTTACCCATGATACGAACCCCTTATGAGAAAACTTCTCTTTTAGCAATTTTAAAAGGTAAAATCTTTACTTTTAACTATTTTATTGTAAAATCCATTTAAGTTAAGATAACTTTTTTTAAAAAAATATAGATAAACTCTTACCGTACAAGAATAAAATTAGTAATATCCATAATAACTACAAAAAAATTAAAAATATTATAATTATAATAATATCAAATGATATTGTTAATTTGTAATATAATGTGTTGTTTTGTAATTAAATTTTTTTCATTTATCGTTTATTCATCTATGCATCAACTTATTTAATATTATATCATATATATTTAATATCACGTAAGATTGTTAGTATTGCCATAAAATTAACACTAATCCTCTCAACAACATTTTCAAAATTATACATACATAAATATTGGTCTTAATACAAATTGGCTTTGAGAACTTAACCCATTTTACCCTAAATAGTTGAACCAAACAGTTATTATAAACAAAAGAATATTAAAAATAATGTCTATAAATGAGAACTTGTTTTTTCAATCCCCAGACTTGCACAATAACTGCACAATAAAAATATAGTTCAGACTATAAATTTTTTAAAATAACTTTTAAAGAATTTCTCCCACATAATGACTCATTAAGGGTACTTTTTGATGCCAGAACTACACATTGGACTGAAAAACAGTGGTCGCAATTGTTATAAACGGGGGAGATATTAAAATTGAAAAACAGGTCCTGCTTTGAGGCGCTCATGGGCATGAGTAATTTCGAAAGCCTTAAAAGCCTTCATCCCCTCGTCCTGCTCTTATTTCTTTGAAGATCCTGATTGCGTCGCCCATGACCTTGGCTTTGGCCAGCGATTCAGCTCGTTTCTTTCCAGATGGATGTGTGGAAAGGTAATCCTCAAGCTTTGACGTCTTATTTCCCGAGAGCTTTCCTAACTTCTTATACACGGTAGGTGCAACTCTTGGATCAAAGCCAGCAGCAGCAATCAATAACAATCCGATGTAATCAGCTTCCATTTCCATCCTGTAATACAAAACGATTAGGATAAGCACCAATGTACATAGTTGTTTATAAATTGAACCTATTTAGTTTAGTTATTAAGAATACCTAATATTTGTTGTTGTTAGTTAATCTATAATTGATAGCTGATTTCTAGCTAATAGTAGATATTTAATTTAAAATTAACCTTCAAAAATTTCTTCTCAAGCACTTTAACTAACTGTTTAAAATTAGAATGATAATACAAGCCAAACCAAACATACCGATTTTTAATCCGATTTACCTTGCCTGGATGATTAGATTCAGACAAGCCACCTAGCTAGAAGATTAGTCCCATGATGATTCAGTAATAGCTAGTGGGAATGGGCATCCTCCTTGTGGAAGAGTTTTAATTGTTTCTAGAAAATACATTGACATCAAGGTATAATAGGATAATTACTCTAGTTGATACTCATTAATATAAAAAATCTTAATTTAAAGTAAAGGTTAGGAGGTTCTACAATGTCAATGGACATACAAAAAATGAAAGTCTAACTCATACCATATATCATTAACATCCCCATTCTCAAATCACCCTATGCCAGTTTCTTACTAGTATGACTCCTAAAGTTTATTTAGTGAATTTGAAACAAGTCTATAGTCGCATTTCGTTGTGTGTTTCTTAATTAATCAGCAAAAACATCTCATTTTTTGAGCAAACATTGAAAAGGAAACAAGTATATATGTAGTTAAAGGATTATATAATATCCAAATGACTATAGGATAGGACACATACTTTCTGGAGAAAGGAAGTTTCAAAAGAAACTTTGAAATGGTGTTGGAAGTGTCAATGCTGAGGTCGCTGATAAACTGATGAATTATCAGTTGTACGATGGCAATCCAAATATTTTTTGTAAGTGTTTCCGCTGAATGTCGAGCCACAGCGTGCGCAACCTAATGAGAAACACATTAGAGAAACATTAAATTATTCTACTTATATACAAAAATATTTTGTATAGTTTGAATTATATCAAATTATATAAAAGTAATTATTATAAGTAAAAATCTCTGAACATGAGTCCATCCTTTCATCAATTGATTTTTTTTTTTTTAGGTGTGAAATTTAAAAAAGCATTGACTGATGATGTATAAATTCAATGAAATGAGAAACTAGTTAAACTATTACCTCATGCCCGATTATGGTGGCTAATTCGTCATCACTTTTAAAATGCTCGAGCAACCCTGTAAAAACAACAATCTTGCCACTAGGCAAGCAGAAAGCATTGACAACAGGCTTATCCACCACCAAAACCTCCCAATTCAATCCATCTAAATGAGAAGCTTTGGCTTGCGTCGCTTTTTCTCGACCCTTGTGCCTTCTAGTCTTCACCTTTCCCTCTACACCCTCATTAAGTGTTAAAATTGTATCATGCCCACTCTGATCCCCATTTGCACACTCAGGCGAGACATATTCCATTTCACTGCAAACCTGCTTAGTTCTCAATTCTTTTTCCAATGCTCCAGTGATTTCTTTCATTATTGATCTTAGCCTAACACTTTGCGGGTGGTTTAAAGGCAATATTCTTCTCTTATAAGATTCTTTCCTTGCCTGAAAATTACTCTCACCCAACCTTCTCTCAATATTTACTGGTAAGAGCACTAAATGGGTTCTTTTTGAGTAAGGAATTGTCTCCAAACTACCAAAACATACGGTTAGAACAACTCCTGAACCAACTAACAAACCAACAAGCACTATCTTTGGGTTGCGCAGCCACCCTCTAGGGTTCGGCGGCCAAAAATCTTGAACACTGTGGCGATAAAACCGTTTTGCCCCATTAGAAAAAGGACCATACTGATATCTATTGGTGCCAATAGGCAAACCCGATCTTTGAGGTATCGAAAAATATGGAGAAAACCCAGAAAAATTAGCTCTATTTGGATTTGAAATCCAAAACCCACAACCCTGTGAAACTCTGAAGAGGAATTTGGAAGTAGGGATTTGAGTACAATCCTTAAACGGAAATTGTTGCGGCAGGAATCTAGCGCCAGGTTCGCTCTTTTGTTGTAGGACAGGATCTTGCTAGTTGTCATGGTATGTACTATGGAGATGGGATAAGGTTGAGTGTTGGAGCAGTCGATGCTTGTGATGATTATGAAGACGAAGGCAAAAGAATGGAAAACCAAAGAAAAACAGGGATTTCAAGTTCAGAAATTTGTTTCCTGCGTATCTGAATAGAGCAGAGTATGAACTGCGGCCATGCAAAATTACGAATGTGAATGGAGTATATTACTAGGTAAAATAAATTCTATGTTTATAAACCGATCCTTCGGGTCAAGTGACTCTACACACGTTTGTAAGGTTTATATCTTCCTCCTTCATGGTAACGGTTCGAGTTGGTTCATGACAAAATGTTTAAATAAATAAATAAATAAATAAATTCTAGGTCTAGTTAAAAACAAAATTCTAAAACCTAGGTAAATAGGAATGTGTTTTAAAGGAAATAGAGAGTCCTAAATAAAATAGATTACTATTTAGCTTCAGTTCAAAAA